CATCCTAGATTGTGAACAAAAAACTTTATACTTACAAGAACCGATGATTTAATCATCTGTGTATAAGCTAAAACTCTACACACTAAATCATCTACTATATAAGTAAACAGACACCTTAAATGAATATATGATCTATTAAAACTAAGCAAATATTTATTCTATAACAAATATTATATCTTAACATATGGTTAATAGTATATATCACAACATAAAGTATAAATACAAAAAAGATGTATATACTTGTGTAAATACAAATTTTGGGATAAAGAAGTAATGAACATTTACTGGTTAAAAACGATACAAAAAGAACCAAACAATAATAACATACCTAACGAAATCCCACTAAATGAGGTTTGGGAAGGATAGAGTATACACAGACGGCAGAACTTACCACTACCTCGTAGAGATAGAAAGGTTGTTTCTCAATTATTGAAGAACCAAAGATAATTAAATTTGTGTCTAATACGAAAGATTAATCAAAACCAAATACTCCCCACAATCAAATTATCTTGCAAATAGTACTATAAAAGTATTAAATTTGGAGTATTATATTGAGAAATGTTTTTGGGCAATTAAATAAAATTTAAAAAATAAACCCACTAATGATTTGTTGGTAAGAGATGCGATTTGCATAGATCAGACTAGAGATATTTTTTTTAATGGTCATGTAGATCTTCTTTTATGGATGTTCCAAGAAGATGAAACACTTAAAGGTGAAAAACTAAACAAATTAATTATTAGTTAAAAAAATAAACGGCGATATACTAACATAAATCAAAGGACAAACTATGTTGTTCTTCTCGTACTCATAAGAGAGTTGTCTGATTTTTTATTTTTTATTTTATTTTCATTTTATTTTTATTTTTGTCTGATTCACATTCTAATTATTTGCAAATTATAGTGTAGGAATAGTTTATACGATAAGATCATTTGTCTCTAGATCTTATAATATATGCTTTTTTATTTTATAATAACCTTTCGTATGAAATAATGCATTTGTATTCTCCTATGTGGTTTGCGAGCTATTGCATAGGAGCGGGAGTTTACCCTGTGTGCACCCAAAGGGTAGCGGCTGTGGGTTTCCCTTGTCGTCAAAAAAAATAAAAAATGCATTTGTATTAGTACTACGGCTTTTTTATTCCAGTTTTGAACTTCACATAATTTATGTGATATTTAATGCTGAAAACAAAATAATGTAGTATAAAGCATATGGACAATGAAAAATGTAATTTTAAATACAAAATTTTACAGTGAAAACCAAATGATATATATACACATTATTTTATATCATGAACAACTTCTCTCCCGTAGAACTATCGAACATGATATGTATTACTTGTGCATGATTTAATATTTACATAAGTGAGCATGACTCATATCCAAATCAGCTACCAAACGACCCGAAGAAAATGATTTTCCACCCTTTTATCTCTAGTTTACAATTTTTAAATTAGTAAAGAATTGCACGGTGCTCCATAAGATTCGCATATAATAAAACTAGATGCGAATAGCCCCCACAAAATAAAATAAATAGACCAGAAATAGATTCTTTTAATCTAACAAGTCTCGTAAGAGGACAAAAGTTTGATAGCAACAGCTAGTGAAACTGCCGTCTAACGACAATAAATAAAGCTTTCAAATTTCAATCATTCACTACACAGTGGTCCAGATTTATTCTTCTCCTCTTTCTATGGCCCAAAAACACTATTACAAAGATTTTTATTCTTTTAAAATTTAAATCTGGGCTTTGGTATCAAACTTCTCTGAATAAGTACTACATCAACTAACTAACGCGAACTGGATGGCCTTGTTGATGAGACTACTAATATACAATTAGACTACGAACCACGTTTTTCACTGGCCAGAATTGAAATGGTGAAACCTTGATCGCGAACATCAACTCATGACATAGTGCTAGGTCAAGGGTTCACTAGCGTGGCGCTCCATCAGTCTAGCTTGGCATGTGTTTCTGCTTTTTGGTATTCAGGAAGTCCCCGTTCGAGTGCAAGCAGCCTCCACCTGTCCCTAGGAAGTCCACAGTTACCTACCAGACAGGGAACAAACAGAAAAGTATTATTGAACTGCATTTTCTGAATAATTAATGAAGAGTATGAATGCCTGACTAGTTTTGTTTATTTGATACCAAATCATTAGAACCTGCAATCACACAGATCTAGCAATAAGTGAAGACGCGAAAGAACATAAAGAGAGATCAAACATAAACATAAAGACTAAAGAGAGGTCTAGCAATTAGAAACCAATGTGCTTAAGCTAAGGCAGAACATAAACATTAGACCATCAAAGCGGAAGTGCTTATTCAAAGTAGTACAGAAATAGATGAGTCATCAATTAATTGGTAATAGGTCAATTATAGATTATATAAAGAATTCATAAGTGGCCAAATTCAGGGAATCAGTTGCAGAATACAAATTGAGCAATCACATCTTTCAGTACCAACCACTACTAAATATTTAATTAATCACACCAGCATCATAGTGATGAATGACCTGACCATAATAAGAAAACAATATTCTTTCATATGAGAAAGGCTGGTCAACAATGTTCAAATGGCAGTACCAAGAAAATAATATAAAAAGGGAAAGAACGAATAAGGACGAGCCGTTCACTAACTTTAAAACAACCATCAGGATGCTCATTTTTAACATAATAAGGAACAGAAGACCACTATGACACAGCATAACAGAATACAGCATATGCAAAGAAGTAAACATAAGAAGTGACAAAGATATGCCCTTAGATCCAGGATCTTGCATCATATTCCTATCAAAGATAATCAATCCCCTACTGGTGAAACAATAGAACTATCACTAATGAGAGACCATCAAAAACCACCTTTTTTTTTCTTTTTAAGGTAAAATGAATTTTATTACCACATCACCCAGAAGGTGCCTCAAAAAGTTGGAACATGCTAGTCAAATTGAAAGCATACTTCTATGAGTTTATTCATTTAGAGCTATGTTGCTCCAACATCATACAGTATTAAAGCATTTCCCATCTATTGGGGAAAAGCAAAAGGCAATGTGAAATATCAAAAGAAGCAAATCTTTCGCTTCAGGTCTTACTAAAAAATCTAGGCTGCAAGGTATGAAAAAGATCGAGGAAAATTATTTAAGCACCATATATACCAATTTCATCACCGACCAAGGGTAATCAAAGAGCTGGTTTTCATAAATTTACAACAATCGTCTTCACAGATACTGTGCCCAAAAACACTCACACAAATAAAACCTATCTGGATAAACCTCACTTAAATGTTTTCCCCTTAGTTGCCCCCTGTGCTCAGATGTACCTAAACCCATCAAAGGTTAAAGACGGCCATTTAATTTCCAGGCTAGTTTGTACTTTTGTAACGATAAAAAAAAAGGTTCTTCTTTTACCTTTTTCATTGAAGAAGATCTACTAATGCAAATATAATAAACTCAAAGGGAAACTCCAGATTGACCAATAAAACTAGCAGGGAAAACAAGAGAACAGTTAATGACAAGCATTAATCATCCAGTAAGGTTTGTCAGATTATGCTTGGCAGGTAACATCATCAAGAAAATCTATAAGAGCCTTGATCCAAATTCCAATCATCAAGGTTCTACTGGCCTTGATCAACTTGGCAATACTCTTACGAGAAGAAGCAGATTACAGTTCATGAATGATTCCCATTTCTATCAGACCAATCCAGACACGACAACCAAAAAAAGAAAAGAAAAACTTAAACTCTCTTTATTTTCTCATTATATTGTGAAGACCATATGTGCTTGGGGAAGGATCGGACAACTTTTGAGTAGTTAATAAAAAAGCACGATCCAGTTCGTGAAGCATCCTGCATTCACATAAAGTTTGAGGAAGGGCCACAATGTAAGCAGCTTATGCCTTATCCTAATGCAAGCATCAAAAACTTACCGTGGCTCAACCCCATGAGTAGTTAATAAAAAATTATGATGCAGATGTTATTAGCAAAATTGCTCCTTATTAACTGGCCTTACAAGATTGAGAAGCTCAATTTGTAATACAGCGCTTCCTACAAAGAAGTTGAGAAGCTCAATCTATAACATCGCACTTCCACAAGCTGCAGACTACTACAGCCAAGCATTTGCTCATAGGAATAGCGTGCCAAATTCTTTAGTGAGAGTCAGAATATTACTAGAAACAGAAAATAAAAGAGAAATGAAAAACGGGTCAATTTCGAGACACTGATGTGTTCATTTCTTAGATAAGTTTATATAACATCCCACAACAAGAACAGAAATTACAAGATCTGATAAGCTTCGAACATGAGCTAATAACAGATGCAAAAGTGCAAAGAATACAAAGTGCTACCTATACAAATGCACCTAACGATATAAAAAGGAAAGAGAAAAGAGCTTACCCTTTCCCCTTCTCTCTCTTTATTCAGTATCTGATGGCAAATATGATGAATCAACAGGGTATCCAACTTCATGTGCTAAATTCTGTAATCCTGGCTTCAATTCCCTGTTGTAAAACTCCTCATACTCCAAGCTGTCTCCTCCTTTCTTCTTCACTTCAACAACTCTCAACGATGGCGTCAACTCAAATATCTCAGCTGCAACTGTCAACGGCCCCTTTGCACCTTCCTTAGACCCCTCCATACTCACTTTACAATCCTTCTTCCTTACTGCAAAGCTCACAACTTTAGCAATTTCCTCCAACTTATTTATGATCTTGGGCACAGGAGCCCCGGATACAAACCTTGCCCCATCTCCTCCCTCCTCAAACAAACCGGACAAATCAAAGCCACGGGAAAATGAAATAATATCAAATGCATTCAAGCTAGCTGGCCTAGGCAAAGTAGCTGACCTCCTTCTGATCTCTATTTCAGACTCAGACTCTGATCTATCAGACGAATAATCAATCCCACCATACTCATCATCATTTATACTACACAACTTATCATCCTCAATATAAAATTTAACATGTTTAAAACCCTTCTTGAACCACCTATTATTCATAATCTCCTGAACAGTAATCCTGGTTTCGGGATTAATATCAAGAAGGTGCTTTAAAAACCGAGTTAATTCAGGTGAAAACCACCTGGGACATCTAAATTCACCCCTATAAATCTTCTTGTACATAGCCATAACATTCTGATCATGAAATGGTAAATACCCTGCCATTAGCACAAAGAGTATCACCCCACATGACCAAATGTCTACTTTGGCTGCATCATAACCCTTTCTTCCTAACACCTCCGGCGCCACATAAGCCGGAGTACCACAGAAAGTATGAAAGAGCCCATCTTGCTTTATCTGCTCTGAAATGGCACTAAGGCCAAAATCAGAAACTTTGACATTCCCATCTTCATCTAACAGTATATTTTCTGGCTTTAGGTCCCTATGGTAAACACCCCGGGCATGACAAAAAGCGATAGCAGAGATTAACTGCTGGAAATATTTCCGAGCAACTTCTTCCTTAAGCCTGCCTTTGGCAACCTTATTGAAGAGCTCACCGCCTTTGACATACTCCATGACAAAGAAGATTTTGGCTTTGGTAGCCATAACTTCGTACAATTCAACTATATTTGGATGCCTTACTCTCTTGAGAATTGAGATCTCACGTTTTATGTGATCAATAAGACCCACTTTCAAGATCTTTTCTTTATCAATCACCTTAATCGCTACGCTCTCATTCGTCTTCACATTTCTAGCATGGTACACCTTAGCAAAAGTACCATGCCCTAGTAATTTCCCAATTTCATACCTGCCCAACAGAAGCCCCTGATTTTCCTTCTTGCTCAAACTCCTCGTCGGCGCTAGGTTGCTGCTGGTACTGGTGCTGGTGTCGCCGGCGGTAGCGATGCCGGCCATGGATTCTGCAAACTTTTAACAAAAAATATGTATAGTTGAATTTTTTTCCTAAAAGAACCAAACTTTATCAAAAGGGTGCTTCCAAATTGCGATCAAAAAGCCAAAATATCAGATGGGTAATTCAAAATTTGCAAAAAAGGGGTAAAATATCGAAAGGGTCGTTTGAAGATTTGCGAAAAAAGGGGGAAAGGGAAGGCCAAAAAGATCAATAGGATTAGTTGACAGTCAGCCTAAATAATGGTTTTTTTGAGGAGAAATTGCCATTGAAATGGTGAGCTGTCGTGTAGTTGGAGATGTTGATGTTATTGAGCTATTTTTAGGTTTCAAGGAAAATGATTGTGTACAGAGCTGTACCTGAATGTATGTATACTCTATATCTATATATTTGAGTGGTGTAGGATTAACGCAGGGTGCGGGTGATGCGTATAAAGAGGATTTATATATATATAACTTTGTGGGGGAATCCACAGCTGGAAAAATACGCAAGTTAATTGTCAAAATTGAAAAAGGGTTTTATATAGAAATATTGATTATCAATTTTATTCTTGAATTATTATTTTGATTTTATAATATAAATGAAATAAACTCTAATTTTTATCAAATTTAGGAGAGTTCAACACTTATCTTCACTTTTTTATTAAGAGTTTGAAAACACTTAATATGTCATATGACATATTGGAATGTATCTAAATTTAATTAATCAAATAAAAAATGTCTTTAAAATTGTCAAATGGTTGAAGAAAGAAACTAATGCGTCAAGTTTAAGAATGTTTCAATATTACTCTGTTTTATATGTGAAAAAAATAAAAAGGTTTTATATATAATATATATTTCTCTTTTTCTTTTCTTTTTTAAAACAATAAATAAATAAGAAAAGAATGATGTTAGAGTCACGTGATATATATGTGATTGTTTCTTACGTGGATGGATTTAATTGGTTTTGAAGATGTATGGTGTGTGTTGTTCTTTGAAGGAAATTTCTCGAAAAAATATCCTATTTTTGGGTCAAATTTCTTTTTTTTTTTTAGAAAAATTAGGTAACACAACAAACTAACACCAAATATTTACCCGAAATAACGGTAATATATATTTTAAAAAAATTACAATAGTATAGGATTTTATCCATATGGATATTATACGTGCGACTATAATATATTTGCTATACACATGATAAACTTCAATTGGGTATACTAATCCATAAATCACACAAGAAAAAATAAATTACACCAAATATATTTTACTATTAATGTGCGTGTGAAAATATAAACAGTCGCTACATCTCATAAATATAAGAATTATAGCTATGTTTCACAATTAGAAGCCAAACTAAAGCAATATACAAAAAAAATCTCTTTTTTTTTCCTGTTCTTTTTCGTAAAAAGGAGTTTTATTCATATTATTGAAGGCTTTACAGCCACTAAGATTTGTACGATCACGAGATAATGGTGAATTATTGAGCCATTGAGGTTTTTTTTGGGTGGGCTATGAATAATATTTATAAATACTAAATTTTCTTGTATTTGCAATTATTAAGAGGTAAAAAGATGGTAGCTGTAGTTCGTCCATAAATTGGCGAACTGTCCATTTTGGTGTATGTTTTTAGGGAGGATTCCTTTTGGTGTTTAGGGTTCAAAAAACGTCCGTTTTAATGTCGAACTCTAATTTGAATACTCTCTTTCTTGAATTGTTGTATTTTTTTATTTAAAAAAAGGCAATTAAAGCTTCAACAATGAGGTGAAACTTCATGTAGTCAACTCCTTTTAGCTTTAAATACTAATCATTTACCACAATTTCAATCAAATACTATCAGATCATCTATTTAAGTATTTTCAACTTTATAAACATGAATTTTATTTTACACCAAAAAAAAAAAAATACCTTTCATGATTAACGTGATTTTTTGGATTGTGTATCTTCATTTTCTTAAGTCTAATTGAAACATGCTATTGTTGAAATTGAGTGAAAAAATGAGAAAATTAAATAGAATTAGCATTTGTCTATGGAGAGTTTGTGTGTGTCACATTTAATACACTACACATACAATCTTTCATTATTATTTTTATTCGGTATTCGATATTCATATTAAAATTCGACTAAATAGGAATTTGCACATTGTATATGATTCATTTTAATAGTGGTACATCCAATTGAAGAGATTTCAACCATCTCACCACAATCCAAATTGATATTACACGCATTATCTACAATTGCTTTGTTTTCATTTTAGGATATAAAGAATGAGTTTTGTCGAGTTGAATCATTGATACTCTTCAACTTACATTTACCAAAATTATCGATATATCTCTTATAGTGGTACATAAACTCAGAATTAAATATGTACCAACCTAAGCCAGATATGTAGACTAAAAATATCATTTTAGACTGCAATATCGTAATATCTTATCTTGAATTCGTGTCACATCTATTTCTTTCCTGAAATTTTGACATCTTATCTCTACTTTTTTATTTTTAGTTTTAGGAAAGATATGTTTGCTAACTTTCTGCTCTGGTCCTCATTCTTTTTCTTTTTGTTTTGTATGAAAACATAAATATCTCAAGGAAAAGTAAAATGTTCTCATCAAGATGTAGACTTTTCTTTTTCTCAAATCTTAATAATGATAGTGTAGTAATCATCTGAAAAATAATTAAAAGCATATATATACCCCAACTTTTTATATTTTATAAAAAATATCCATCATTTATTAATTCTAATTTATATTTATCGATCAAATTATTCCATTAATAACTAATAACTATTCTCCTTTGCTATCTATACAGAACGTGGCCAAAAAGAACAAGTGATTTTTAATGGGTTATAATTCATCCTAAATCAGTGACAAGTTTGAGTATGCGATAAATGTATTGGTCTTGTCCATATTGTTATTTTGTTGTTGTTGATTGTCATCAATTATATAATAAGGTTATTTTTAATGGAACATGTTCATTATAAAAATGACAAAACAAACTTAAAGGTATTTTTAATAATTTTTAGAACTTATGGGTATAAATAATTTTTTTTAAATAGTCAAATATTTCTTCCAAAATTTATGACCAAACGCATGGTGAAACTTCACCAAAAAATGAGTTGCCAAGAATATTTGAAAATTTGGGGTCAAACACTAACTAAGTCTCAGAAAATTAGATTTGGTGCAAAAAGAAGAAACTTCAATAAAAACCGAAAGTCAATAAAATAAAATTCATTTCGTTTCAATTTGTTTTTCTAATAATGACTTGTCACGACCCAGATCGTCGTAATTGGCACCCACACTAACTCTCTGGTGGGAGAACCATTACTACAATCCAAACCAAGCAACTAAACCAAAATTAAGGCATTTAAGTTACGGAAGCAAGTTAAATACTAAGGAAATAAAGAGGGAGTTCCCATAAACTCCAACAAAAGTCTAACAACGAACTAACAATGCGGAAGAAAATAACCTAGAACCTGGAAGTTAATGTACCAAAACATCTAACAATGAACCAAGTCTAAACAAGAAGGGATGCAACCCCCAACTAATGTACTAATAACTAATAGAACATAGTCTAAGTCCGGAAATGGTGGACATGGACGAAAGAGAACCCATGGCAGCCCGGAATAATTGGCTCACCCTTGAATTCGAACGATCATTGATCTCCTAATCGAGGTCTGTCAGTAGCCGCTTGAAGATGCCTTATACTCAACAAAAATAAGAGCAAGTGCAGTATCAGTACACAACCACAGTGTACTGGTAGGATCACGCGGCTATCCCACACTAAGTGCAACATAAGCAAGTCAAGACAACCATTATAATCACATGCATATATATCAACATATACAATATTATCAATATTTACGAACAACGAACAACTTCACATTTTATATCAAATCATTAGTCCTCTCATGGAACTCAAACCCAAATAATTAGTATACCGAAACGTGGTATCTGATCCCATAATTATGCTAGAACGTGGCAACCGATCCAAGTTAGTTATGCCGGAGCGTGGCAACCGATCCATTCAACACACCACAATCATAATCACAAGTATATCATTAAGATCATACATTTAAGTCATGATTTCATGGCAATCATCATTCCTTTATATCATTTAACATCAAGTGTGATCAACATTGCAACATTCATACATATCATAATGAAGCAAGAACAAACATACATCACACAATCATAGAATCACAGTCATCACCTACCTCGAAACAAGCTTGAAACCCTAAGAAACTTGATCCTTCCCTTTCTGGATTCGTTCCGCTTGTTCTTGGTCTACAAACAATCAATATAATACAGGAATCAATAAACAATCACTAATTACCCGAATTACTAAAAATTCTATGAACTCTAGATCATACCCATGATCCTAATTATCCAATTTAGGGTTGTTTCCATCATAGAATCTATAACAAAACCTTCCTCCATCAATATTCACCCATTCTATTACATTCTACGGATACAAAAAATGGATTCGGGGAGTGAAAAACTTACCTTTAGCCTCAAGAATGGTAGAAAAACGAGTAGGAGTCGCCTGGATTTGTTCCTTAGCTACTAAAAGTTAGAAAAGTGCATAATAAGGTCGTTTAGGGGTTTATTAACGACCTTAAGTCGCGTCGAGCCCGCCACAGCGGCCATCATCCCGCTGTAGCGTCCCCGCCAGAACGGCAAAATCCAGTGCCAAAGCGGCTGGAACGAAACAGAGAGCTATTTTGAGAAATCCAAAATCCCCATTTCACAACACACATCTCACCAACGACGCTCAGAAAAATAACCTTCACGCTAAGATCTATTCTAACCAACGACGCTCAGAAAAATAACCTTCACGCTAAGATCTATTCTAACCAACGATTCCGGGAGTTCTACTCACCCGAATTCAATTCCGTAAAGTCGTACGGATTCCTTAACGAGTTATCTAACTACTCATGCAATTAAAATAAAAAATGATTCACCCGATTGTTATCAGATTTCCCTACACCTCAAAGACTCCGATTTCGTCCAAATCTGGACTAGGTTGGGAAAATCCAAATACTACGAAAAAGTTTGTCGACCCAAAAAATTTTCCCGTTGGCATTTCTATAACGACAGAAACAAGTCGTTGCATGACTTGACACCAAGTTTAAGTAGAATTCTTTTTCTGAATTTTATGATATATATTTAATGTACTGAAATATTTTTTAATCATATGATATTAAACATATCATATGAAAAATTGAAATTATTGAAATATAATATCACCTTTTCCTAATTCAGAAAAACAAAACTTCTAATTTTCTTTTTAATCCTTTAGATTTCACTTTCCCATGGTGGACTTCTATCACTGATCATGGACTACAATGTCTTAATAAAATTAAAATATTAAGGAAACCAAAGTCATCAACGTATATATATTGCACACTTCTTATAATTTATTATGGATAGATAAATTAA